CTTCCCTTCCCTTCCCTTCCCTTCCCTTCCCTTCCCTCCCTTCCCTTCCCTTCTCTTCCCTTCCCTCATTCAATTTTGATAAAGCTTATGTGCCTAAAAATAATTCAAGAAAGATGCTGGAAATAGCAACAGGATCCACTGATTTTCCTTTTGTCATATTCTACTTTTTAGGGGGACACAGGTATCGGACAACCAGGACCTAGAGGAGAACGAGGAGATCCAGGAACTCGGGTAGGCATTTTACACTGACTCTGGAACTATCTTAACATCATTATCCAGGTATATTGACACTGTAGGGTGCGGGTTTGTAAAATAGTTTGCTTTACATTGTTTGAATGCAAAACTTCATGAAACTCCTCATTTCAAAATTTAATTTATTCGAGTGCAAAATAGCCTTTTTTTTTTAGATTGAGATTTAGATGGAGTATTCCAAAGTTCACACAGTTTTCAGCTCTGAAGATTTCTTAAGTTTTCGAAGGCAACCCATTTCTCATTCAAAAAAAGAACAGTTTCAAACTAGATACTAAAAGAAGAAAAACTTTGACAAATCAAAGTCCGAAGGTTTGAAATATGATGTGTTGCATACTCTTATGCTGGAATTCTAATCATATTTGACCAACAACAAAAGAGGAGTGTACAGAACTAACTGTGCTAGATTTTGCATAGTCTGAAGCAGAAAATGTTTAGCAGTACTGTAATATCTAGTTTTTCCTCCTATTAAGGCAAAGGATAGATATCTAAATTTTGTAAACTAAGATTGGTTAGAGATTCCACTTCCCAATATAACTTTGGGCAAATTATATTATTAAAATATTCAAAAACCATTTATTATTTTTTAAAAAAACATTTCACCATTCAGAAAAGGACTGCAAAGCTTAAAATGTTGGAATAAAATATAAATGTTGGTGTGGTATTTTGGGATTTATCAGCTGGCTGAGTATTATGGGAAATTGCCAACTTTGTCTTGATATACAATTGTCCCCCTCCCTGCCCCTGTTATTCTTTTGTTCTATGTGAATACTTTGTTTGTCTTTCCTCAGGGTGAAGATGGGCGCCCAGGTCTGGAGGGAGATCGAGGGCCTGCTGTAAATATCTCATTCAACCTTCTTTCCTCTGTTTGTTTGGTCTTAAGCATAGGCCTTTTGCATTTAAACATTCTATTTTGTCTTTAGGGCCCTCCCGGAAACAGAGGGGAGAGAGGTGACAAAGTAAGTAAGAATTGGGGTGGGACAGTTGTGAGGAGGAATAGAATCCTCCTGCTCTGACCTATTTCTAATGCTGAAAAATAAAATCATTTTATTAATATAGTTTTAGCTTTGGAATGAATGAAGAAAAGTAACTAAACGTCTGGCATTTCCTGTTATGCTGCAAATCTGAATTATGTCAAAACACATTTTGAATAGACAAAAGAACCAGCCTGTAAAATATGCATAATTACAGTGTCTCCTTTCCCTTACATTGCTCATCTAGTCCTTATAATAATCTGGCTTCTTTTTAAAAGCAAGTACCCAGGCCACCATGAAATCAAATGAGTTTTCAAAATATCCCTACCAAAGTCTAATTCTGTAGATTCCTGGAGGTAAGGGCTTATTATCTTAGTTCCTGCTGTGAAGTGTTGTGCATTATAATTATTAGCATTAATATTAACCATCTATATATTTATAATCCAACTGATCTAAGACTGCTATATCATTGATGGTAATAAATTATGTAAATTAATCTATAATTATACTTTTTTTT